TTTATTTCTTCTACTTACCCTTTTCAGTGAGGTGCTACTAATTAGGAAAATTATCAGAAGACTAAATCACAGGCTAAAGATATTATTTAGACCAGGGGTCCTCAAACTTTTTAAACAGGGGGCCAGTTCACTGTCCCTCAGACCGTTGGAGGGCCGGACTGCAGGCCCCAGGACGAGTCAGCTGCTAAGCAGGACAGGCAGCAGCAGCAAAAACACCCAGCGGGCCTGATAAATGTCCTAGGTGGGCCACATGTGGCCTGCAGGCCATAGTTTGAGGATGCCTGATTTAGACATAGCATTTCAGTTTGGATTTTTTTTATAGTTCACCTCTGAAGACCTTTCAAGGGCATGCCATCTCCCACCTTAGTGGGCCATTCCATTCCATGTGCAGGGTCCTTCTTAGTCCTAGGGACTTCTGAGACATGAGGTCAATTCCAGCCCAGTCTTTGCTGTTTAAGGTCACTTCACATGTAGGGGGAAACCCACAGGTAGCTTATGACAACATAATCCTAAAGTTTACTGGTGGGTTCATGGTGCTCACTTTATTATGCTTCATAACTTAAACTTGTTACAAATATATTCTGTTGTATATATCAAATATTTCATACTCAAAAAACAGAAAGAAACCCTGAGAATAATGCTGAAAATTTAATTCCTTTAAATAGGAAACATTCTAGGGCCAACCCAATCTCCCAAAACTGATATAGATGAGACTGTTTCTCCCTAGGATGCTCCAAGTAGGATCAGACTCAAGTTGCTCTAGGGTTAGAAGGCTGGTTCAGTGCTGTTGATTTATAGTCTCCTACTCATACTTCCTTGAAATTAAAAGACAGATAATAAAGTATATCTTAATGAACAAGGAAAAATTAGTCATCTTAAGCAACACATATGTTGGAAGACTCAATGCACCATAGGCCCTGAGTCTTACCGCACATTTTTGCTGCATAGGCCAAGGATGCAGGCCTGACTGCTTTTTACCTGAACCATTTCCCAGAGTCGCATTTGTATTAAGCACCCTTAAGAAATGAGATAACATCTTCTCTCAATTTTAGGCTTGCTCACCATTCACAATAAAAAAATGATAGATTCCATAAGTTCAGTGTCCCTCAGCTGCATCATAAACCCAATGCACCCATCTTGACATCCAACTAAGTTCACCTATATCCCCTCCACCATGGGACTTGGAGTGCATGGACAACTGGTGCCAACAGGATGCACATGCTCTTTGCTGTGCTATGAGCAATAAAGTCTTCTGCCAACATCCATGAAACACTAACAGACTAATTTGTTATAGCACATTTGTTACTAATTTGTTACTTATCCTTGGTTTCCCATTCCACAGTTTCATTTACCTGTGGTCAACCTTGCTCTGAAAATATTAAATGGAAAATTCCAGAGAAAAAAACAATTCGTAAGTTTTAAATTGCATGCAATTCTAAGTAGCATGACAAAGTATTGTGCCATCCCACTGAGGATATGAATCAGCCCTTTGTCTAGACTATTCATGTTTTCCACACTTCCTGACTATCAGTCACTTAGTAACTATCTGAGTTATCAGATCAGCTATCACAGTATCACAGCACTTGTGTTCAAGTCACCCTTATTTTATTTAATAATGGTCCCAAAGTGCCAAGGTAGTGAGGCTGACAATTCAAATATGCCAAAAAGAAGCCACAAAGTGCTTTCTTTAAGTGAAAAGTTTAAAGTTCTTCACTTAATAAGGAAGGGGATAAAAGCATGTGTAAAAGTTGTTAAAAGCTATAGTACAACAAGACATTTTGAGAGAGACCACATTCACATAATTTCAATTATACAATATTGTTGTAATTGTTCTATTATATTATCAGTTCTTGTTAATCTCTTACTATGGCTAATTTATAAGTTAAACTTTAACTAATTAAGGTTAAATATTATATGTATGTATGGGGAAAAAACATAGCATATCTATGGCTTAGTACCATCCACAGCTTCAGGCTAGGGGTCTTGGACCATATCCTGTGGTTTACAAGTAAGATACAACCCTGATGCATTTTGCAGGGCCTTGTACATGTGGTCTTAGTGACAAGGATGAGATGCTGATAGAGATACATGACCTTCTAGGGGTGAAAGGAAAAGGGCCCTCCTTGGTTGGGTTAGAGGGTATGGAAAGACTTCCTGAGACCCTAGGTAGTAGTAAAGGTGGGCAAGTAGAATAAGAGACCCTCATTGTCCTATGCATTAAATGAGGTTGAACAACAGAAGACGGAGTTGAAATAAGCTTCCCAAATATTGCTTTGGCTGTGGTGTGCTCTTCTTCAGGGTGGGAGAAGGGAAGGATGTTATTACAACAATGGGACAGAAAGCCTTACGTTCCAGCCAAAAGCCAAGGCAATGTGGCTATGGCTATGAGTCAAAGGTCCCCAAAGCTGAAACACACGGTGTCAGCAATGAGGACAGAAAACTAACAGCCTGGCATTGTGGTGGGTGCCTGTAGTCTCAGCTACTAGGGAGGCTAAGGCAAGAGAATCTCTTGGGCCCAAGAGTTTGAAGGTGTTGTGAGCTGTGATGTCCCAGCACTCTACCAAGGGTGACATAATGGGACTCGGTCTCAAAAAAAAAAAAGAAAACCTGACCCCTGGTGACCTGGTGACTCTCAGGACTAACATCTCCATTTGGGGGTATACCGACTAGGACATAAGTACAAGGGCAAATTAGCTGGTCAAATAAAAATAAATTGTTTGAGCACATGGTTGGCCTGGCTCTAGTTTTGTCTCAGTTTTGCATAAAGGAATAATAGCTACCCCTTTGAGGAAAACTTTATCTGTCACTTGACTACCCAAAACAAAGCTACTAACTCAACAGGGCCGGATTCACAGAGATTCTCCTAAGTCTCTGGGCCTGGTTTACCTTTGGTTCAGCTAAGCTGAAAACTGAGGGAGCTGATAGTGCTTTTGTGCTGTTTGACCTTGGCACCAGCTATACAAAGCCTGGTCACTGGGGTCAGAACTGAAAATCGTCTCAGAGCTCTGGTCAGTTGGACTGAGGAGCAGATTCTTAGGAAGAACAATTTATGATAGACTCTGAATATCCTCATGTTTTTTCTGGGTAGGTCAAGAATGCAGAGTTCTGACTGCTCTTTTCCACAGTCATTTCTCCCATTGTGTTTCAATAAACAATCTTCAGGAAGGAGACCAAGTAGCTCCCTCCTCCTGCCACCTACCCCTTACTCATGGCTCATTTTAAAAGCAACAGATTCCTTAAACTCAATATTCCTCAAATGTGACACAATCCACACAGTGCACAGCACCCATTAACCTCATGCCCATCTTTGTCACCTTCATCAGTATTGGGGGACATGGGGAATTGACACCAACATCATCCTCATGCTGCTTTCTGTGCTATGAGTTACAAAGTCCTCTATCTCTGATGTAGCTGTCTCCAGTCTTCTGTGATGGGCTAACTTGTTATCTTGCAAGTAGGGTAAAATCCCAGACCCTTCACAGACCCTAACTTCACGAGGACTGATGTAAGAGTAAAGTCCTGTATTTTCCAAAGGTCTTTGACAAAGGCACTTTAAGCATCTGACATGCGTGTTTTATCCACATACCTAATATTTGGTCTCCACTAAGTCACTTTGCTATGTTAAAATAATTTAATTGCCCATTCTTTCAATTGTTTTATTCTCCCAAAAGAAATATTTATTCTGCACAAGACACTCTTGTCAGCCTTTAATACCAATAATATAATGGCAACAACTAATATTTACATAGTGAGAAGCATTTTTCTAAAGACTTGAGGCATTGTTCTGTATATATATTATCTTTACTCCTTAAAACATGCCTCTGAGGAGGATAACGTTTATTGTACAGATCAGGAGACCGAGGCACAAGACATACAGTTGATTGAGGGAGGAACCAAGATTCAAACCCAGACAATCTGACTTCAGTCCTCATTTTTAACCTCTAGCTATACTGCCTTACAGAAGGAACTTCTACTCCCAGCATCATAATGGGCCACAGAGGCCTAGAGATCTTTGCCTGAAATCTTAATTCAGCTCAGACTTTTAAGCCTTAATTTTGACTTACTAACATTTTAAAATGCTTTTTGACAAACTATAGTAGATAATTTGACAATCTTCTACAGTGTTTTGATCTTTCTATCCAGTAATTGCATGAATCCAGTGTCAAGTTTTAATTTTCTGTATTGCTTACTATTGGTGCTGTAAAACATTATCATGAACTAAGTGGCTTAAAACAACATAAATTTATTATCTTATAGTTCTGAGGTCAGAAATCCAAAATGAGCTGGCAAGACTGGGTCCCTTTGAAGTTCTTGAGAATAGTCTGTTTCTTTTCCTTTTCCAGGTTCCTGAATTCCTTGACTCATGACTCATACTCCATCTTCAAACCAATGGTGTAATATCCTCTAATCTCTCTCATTTTCACTTTCACTCTGACCCTCTTGCTTCCTTCTTTCCCTTATAAGAGACACTTGTGATTACAATGGACCCATCTAGATAATCCAGAATAGTCTCATCATTGCAAACTCTTTAAACAACTACATTGAAAAATTCCTTTTCCCATGTAAAGTAACATATCCACAGGTCCCAGGGATTAGGAAATGGATGTCTTGGGGGAACCACTCACTCTTTTGTTTACCATATGTTCTAAATAGTTATCTTTTCCTGTACTATACAAATTTTCACATGACTGGACTGGACTGGACTGGAGTCCGTGTCTGGACTGGAGATTTAACCAAGCCCAACTCACTCTTCTGTCTACCATACACTCTAAGCAGTTATCTGTTCCTGCACTACAGAAATTTTTACAAGAGTGTCTGAACTGGAGATTTAAACAAGCCCAATTCATCAGATAATTAGCAGTCTATTTCATCTTGGCCTTCAGAATGGAGCCCCAAGAGTATTATCTTTTGGAGTCAAAGAAAAAAACCTGCTGGAACACATGTGGTAGGAAATTTTAGCCATTGTAACAACATAACAGCTTAAGTATTTTAAAACATACCTGAAGTCGGGCATTCATTTGCATGAACTCTTGCTGATTTTTCATGTTTTCGTTCATAGATTTTGAAAATATAAACCCCATCTTGACCTAAAAGTGTAAAGAAGCAAAGAGACTTAACTTACTACAAGCATCTTTGTATGCTCTGCTTTGGGCCACCATGAGCTAATAACAAAGTACAAAAAAGATAAAATTTCTGACCAAGGAACATGGTGTGAATTCTAGTCCTGGCTCCTAACTACCTGCTAGACCTTGGGCATAATTAACTAACCTATCTATCACTTACTTATCTAAGACCAGCTAACTACATGGTTTCCAAATTCTTTCATGCTCTATATGGTTTTATGTAAATACAGAAGATCTTCAGTTAGTTGTTGATTCCACTTTGAGAAGTTACAAAACTCAGAGAAAAGTTATAACTTCTCTACCCTCCTCAACAATGTTGCTAACGTATTTTCTCCTTAGCAGGCTGCTGAGTTATGGAACCGCAAGTCACTGAGGCCAGTCTTAGGACTTTACAGCCAGGATTCATAGTATTATATGGAAAGCCCATCCAGAGTTCCTAATTTCCATGTCCTCATCAGGGAAGCCTGGGTTCTGGCTAACTGAAGAGAAGATGGTGTGGAAAGGGGAGTATTTCATGTCAAGTGGGATGGGTTATCTGCTAAGGCGACTCCAAGCAAGTGGGAGTTGCAAGCCAAGACTTCAGTGACTTCCTTTTACTCTGACCAAGGATTTGCTACAGAATTACAGGTGGTCTGAGACAGGGTCAACTTCAAGCTAGCACACAAGGCCACGTCACTTACTGGGGAGAATAGATACAGCCCTGAACAAGCCTGGAAGGTCATGAGAGTTCCCTTCCCCTCTGCCACTTTCCAACTCCAGCACCCTGTGACTAGAGTTCGAAGCCACTTGCTAAAAGTGGGAAGATCTAGCACTTCTTTCCTTTCTCCAAACTTTGACAGCCACCATGTGAATCATCTTCAAAAGAAGACCATTACTTGCCTGAAAGCAGGAAGGATATATTGATATTATCCTTCTTCACAATCTCCATGGTGTGTCTACTTTCCACAAATGTTTGTACAAAGCACGAATGATACAAGATAATAAAGAAATGTCATTTGCCTTTCCTTATTTTTCTTCTATACATAGGAGATGATTGAATTTTTATATCTTCTTCAAACATTTATAAAGAAAACAGACATCTTCTAGTACCATTTCTCCATGCACATACCCTGTATGGCACACCACTAGGTCTGTTTAAGTATTCCTGTTTGTAAGGGGGTGGGATCTCCCCTATTGAAAGGTACAATCTCATGTCAATAATCTGGAGAAGAGAAACTATTTAGGCAGTTAGGATTTAGTCTTACCTTTTTCTGGGACTTGCTCTCTTCAGTATGGACTTTTACTTTGGGTGTGTTAGAGGAAACTCCCAGAAAAATAGGTCAAAGGTAGAAACTAAGCAGGAAGAAGAGCTTCCCTCTGGGAAACCACACCTGAAAATAAGCACACCACACTCTGTCAAATGCGCCCTAAAGTTCAGTATTTTTACCTTCTCTCCTCCCCCATCCCTTACAAAGCCATTTTCCAAAGTTTGGGAGTATTCATTAGGGAAGCTGGAATACTCTCAGCTTTTTCTCTCCCATTCACAAAATATATACCAGAAAATAAGCAAAGTGGCCTCATAATAGGAAAATTTTTGATTTCACTGATTTGCATAGACTAAGTCTTTCAAAAATTTTAATGCTTGGCTTGGGGCCTGTAGCTCAGAGGCTAGGATGCCAGCCACATATAACGGAGCCAGAGTGTTTGAATCTAGCCTGGGCCTGCAAAACAACAATGACAACTACAACCAAAAAATAGCTGGGCATTGTGGCAGGTGTGCCTGTAGTCCCAGCTACTTGGGAGGCTGAGACAAGAGAATTGCTTAAGCCCAAGAGTGGTTGCTGGGAGCTGTGAAGCCATAGCACCCTACCCATGGTGACAGCTTGAGACTCTGTCTCCAAAAAAAAAAGTCTAATGCTTTATCAAGGGCAACAAATTTCTTGCTACTTAATACAACGTGGATACCAGTGTGTCTCAGAGGGCTGAGAATGCTGACTTGAATCCTTTCTGCCTTCATTTTTCCTTTGATTACTCCTGAGACTCTAGAAAGGTGTCCAAAGTCTCCTTAATGCTCCAGCCCTGGAAGATGCTCTTCTGGGGAGGAGGGTCCAGGCTGCAAGTTCCAAACAAATTTTTTCTGGTCATCCCTGAGAACATGAATTTGATCTTACTTCTTTTAAAAAAAGATAATTCCATGAATCTGTCATCCACATTTCCACACTCACTTGTTTCCTGACCAAATGACACATTATTTAAACTCACGACTGGTCGTATAATCACAATCATTTTCCATAAGGCTTTGGGTTCCATTCGGAATAGGTCACTTGACCTTGCAAATAACAGCCCAGAGCCCACGCTTCCCGGCGGTTTTCTGTAATTAACTCCACCCTTCTTCCCTGGAGTCAGTTACTGTAAGTTAGGTATTCCCCGCAACCGTATGAGGCTTTCTAGTGATGTTTTTCCCAACACGATTATACGATATGGAGAGGTCGCACGTCCAGATGACGAGAACAGACCAAGGGGCAACAGGAAAGCCAAGGCGTGGAGCAGGCGCGCAGCTCGGCCTGACACGCCCGGGCCGGGGGCTCGCGCCGGCTGTCGCAGCCACGCGGATCCTTCCCACTCTCCGCCTGAGACCCGCGCTTACTCACTGGGCAGTGGGTGGCAGCGGCGCAGTCACAGAGAATCCCCGCGGAGGCCTCCACACGCGGGTTCGGGCACCAACCCCGTATTGCCCTACAGAGCCTTGGGATTGGCTGTCCATGACAGCAGACAAGTCTCAGCCAATCAGCGCGGCTCTAGGCTTCCTGACCCGGCCTGCGGTCCCGGCAGAAGCCTCGCGTGTCCTTCGTCACAAGATCTCGGGACCCCGAGGTGGGCGGGGCAGGTCAAAGCGGCAAATTCAAAACCGTAGCTACTCAGCCGCCAGATTTTGAAGGGAAGCAGAAGGGAGCACAGTTGGATGCCTCAGTATCCTTATCTGTAAAACTGCCGCCATTAAAGTGGCAAGAGATAAGCCAGTAAACGAAAAAGAACAGACTTGACTGTAATTACTAATTCTTCCTTTTCGGACAGAGCCACCTTTCGCCTGTGGCTCTGAGAGATGTCAGTTACTTCTCACTGCCACCAGCAATTACTGTTATCTTGAGTAAGCCACGTCTCTCTCTCAGTCTCCTTGACAATACACACAAGTGTGTTTGTTGGCACTCTACCCTTTACTACCAAATGACTAGGGAGAATAGCATAAATGGCTCTGCGTAGCGGCTCACGCCTGTAACCCGAACACTGTGGGAGACCCAGGCCGGTGGATCTCTTGAGCTGAGGAGTTGGAGACCCCATTTCTACTAAAAATATAAAAACTAGCTGGGTGTGGTGGCAGGCACTTCTAGTCCCAGCTACTCAGGAGGCTGAGGCAAGAGGATCTCTTGAGCTATGAGTTTGAGGTTGCTGTGACCTATGATGCCACAGCACTCTACCCATAGTGACAGAGAGTGAGACTCTGTCTCAAAAAAAAAAAAAAAAAAAGAAAAGAAAAGAAAAGAAAAAGGGAGAAAGAGAAAATAGAATAAACAACACTAGCCTCTGACTTTGAAGAAGGTCCTGCTTTAGGCCTGGCTTCCATGAGGAAGGTCCCTGCTTTAGCACTCACTAACTGCCACATCAGGAGAGAAAGTATCTAGCCTCCTCCAGGTTCAGCGTGGGGGTTACAGCTATACAATGAGGGCAAGGAGAACTAAGCATGACACTCAGAGATGGGCACCATGTGCGACAATAATGATCACTGGATAACTAGTGTAACCCAATAAAGTCAGGGCCTCTCAAATGTCAGATAGTGCAGAAATTAAAATGCTGTTTCACCAGAGTGGGTAAAAAAATCTTGATGTACCTTGGTCCTGGCATGGGGCAGAGAAAACAAGTGAAAAAGAAGCTACAATGGGCAGTGCCTGTGGCTCAAAAGGGTAGGGCACCAGCCCCATATGCTGGAGGTAGCTGGTTCAAACCCAGCCCCAGCCAAAAAAAAAAAGAAAGAAAGAAAGAAAATGAAGCTATGATTATCAATTTAGTCTTGCAACAAGATATAGAGGCAGGGACTATAGGAGTTATGCATTTAAAATGCTAACTGATTATTTCTTTCCATCCCTCTTAACCTGTTACCTTGCATGATGAGTACTAGTGGAGATTTAGTTTAGGATTTAGTTTCTATACCTGAATTGAGATCACCTCAAGGCAGTAGGTGGCTGATGGGACTTGTTAAAGAAAACCAAAACTAGACAATAGTTAAAGTAGTAAAATAGGATTTTATTCAGGAATTATTGGTAATAATAGGCAGGAAAAGACTTCCAGTAGAACTAGATTTAATTCTAAATACAGCAAAGATAAATGGGGATTTGTAGCCAAGGAGAAGGTTGAAAGGGTAGGAAATCAGTGGTGGGAGGTCAGTGGATGGAAAATTACTAAGAGGCATTATCAAGGGTAGGGGGAATTCTTGCTAAACTGACCTAATAGGATTCTTGCAGAAGGCAGGCAAGAATGATCAGATATCCCCTGGGTCGGGGGAAATGAGGAATTTGATCATCTATTGAGGGTGATCAAATAGCCAAGGTGGGGGGATTTTCTCTGCACTGACTTAACAGGATTCTTGCTAAAACTGATTCTGAAAGGATGGACACTGACACCAAGATCAAGGCCCTCAAGGAGAGGGCTTAAGAGGAGCCTGACTAAAGTCTGTCAAGGAGAACATCTTGATAGGCATGGGCTAACACCTGTAATGCCCGCACTTTGGGAAGCTGAGGCCTGAGGATCACTTGAGGCCAGCAGTTTAAGAGAAGCCTGGCAGCTCGGCGCCTGTGGCTCAAGCGGCTAAGGCACCAGCCACATACACCTAAGGTGGTCGGTTCGAATCCAGCCCGGACCCGCCAAATAACAATAATGGCTGCAATCAAAAAATAGCTGGGCGTTATGGCGGGCGCCTGTGGTCCCAGCTACTTGGGAGGCTGAGGCAGGAGACTCACTTGAGCCCAGGAGTTGGAGGTTGCTGTGAGCAGTGAAGCCATGGCACTCTACCCAGGGTGACAGCTTGAAGCTCTGTCTCAAAAAAAAAAAAAAGAGAAGCCTGGCAACATAGCAGGATCCTGTCTGTATAAAATGTTTGTTTGTTTGTTTAAAAAAAAAAAAAGAGGAGGAGAATATTTTGTCATACTCTATGATTCTTATGTGTAGCAGATGAGCTTCTCTTTATCATGGGCTTTTGTGTTTTCTGCTTGCCCTCCCTCACATCCATTCTCCTCGCTTTCCTGCCCTGTTCCCTGCCCTAGAAGCATTGAAAAGTGTCATCTGGACTCTCCTCAGCTGGTTTCCATTTGCATTTGGGCAGTGAAAGGCATTCGGGAAGATGTGAGGCAAAAGAAAAAAGACATCAGGATACATATTCTCCATTCTTTCTCTGGTTTTGGCTACAGATCTGCTGGTGGATATGTTTATCCATAAATGTACCTCCCTTGACAAATGGTTCTTCCTTCAGGGCTCAAATTCACTGAGTTCTGGAAACACTTTCCTCCCTTGCTATATATCCCAGAGGTGGCACGGGTTCCTGCTGTTGCTAGATTCTGAACATTTCAACTAGGTGGGTTTTTTAACTTGGCCCATACCCCTTTAAATAGTGTCTGTGTTAATATATCTTTAGCCAAATCAACTGGGTCAAATTCTGATTCCTGATGGATACACCCTTAAACTGTACACACACATTATAAATGTTCTTGTATAAATAATATTGTTCCTAGTTTTAAAATATAAGTGAAAAAAGTGACTATAAGAATGTATGCCAAGGGAATTGAGAAGAATCTTGATATAGTTATTGGACACTACATATTCTATATTCTATTTTATAGAATGTAGGTTAGGAGGATTAAAAGAAATTCATTTCAATATCAAATAGCGTATAACTTTAACCTATGTGAATTATTCCCAGTTATATTAATTTTTGAATATGTGTGTACGTAATTTTATGCAAACAAATGTGTGTTGTCATTTCACATTATAGCATAAAGATTTTCATGTTGTTACATATTTACCATTTTCAACAGCTAAATTATTTCAATAATTATGTATATAATAATTTCCATTGTTGGATATTTCTGATTTTTTGCTGTTGGGAATATTCATGTGTGTGTGTGTGTATATATATATTTGTATTACAAATATGTGGTTAAATAGTATAAATATTTTAGAGAAATTAACTCAGCTCATAGGAAGCTCCCTATCCCAGTACAGTAAAATCACTCAATATTTTCCTATACCTACATAAAGTATCAGTTTTCCAAAAAATAAAAGTTTTTGGAAGCTCAAGATGTACCTAGACACATTTTCTTTTAACAGAGATGCTTTCACAAGGATGTGAATTTCCACATTAATCTGAAACCTGATTTAGCTAAGAACCTGAGTCTTTGAAGGATTTCAAGCATGGGGCTGAGGCTAGAAGCTCTTTAATACTATGTATTAAACCATTCCAGCATGGTGTTATCCAATTCCTGAATTGTAACCTTTCACTCCAATCCTGGGGCACGCCTGTATGCTGGGCTCAATCTGGAGCAACAGATCCCCAGAGCTTTGTACAAGCTTTCTTTGGACTTTGCCCCTTCCTCAACAGTGACACCATGTGGCAGTGTAATATGTAGTACAAGGGCAGCAATGACACAGATCCTTTTCTGTCCCCACCTAAAGATTTTTTAAATTGAAATACAATTCACATATCATAACATTCACCATCTTAAAATATACAGTTGAGCGCTTTTAATATATTCAAAAAGTTGTGCAGCCATCACCACTAAGTCCATAACATTTTTGTCAATAACAAAGAAACGCTGTACACATTAGCAGTCACTTTCAAGACTCCTCTCTCCCCAGCCTCTGGTAACCCTTTCTGTTTTTACAGATTTTCCTATTCGGAACATTTCTTATAAATGGAGGCCTACATTAATACACGACCTTTTGTATCTGGCTTCTTTTAACCTAACATAATGTTTTTTCAGGCCCATCCAAGTTGCAATACGTATCAGTACTTCATTCCTTTTCATGGCTGAATAATATTCCAGTGTAAGGATATATCACATTTTGTCATCCATTCAAAATTAATGGGCATTTGGATTTTTCCTGGGTTTTTTTGCTATTATAAATAATGCTACTAAGTTTTTGAGTAAACATACATTTTCAGTTCTCTTAGGCGTATATGTAGAAGTGGAATTATTGGGTCATATGTTAACTCTATGTCTAATTTTTTGTGGTTGAACAAGTGCACAATGCCTGCAACAGAAAATGAGGATACTAATTTCACTGTGCACATGTATTGTAGTTAAAAGCATAGATACTGGAGCCAGAATCCCTCAGTCTGAATCCTAGCTGTGCCATCTCCTAGCTGTGTAAATTTAGACAAGTTACTTGAGCTCTGTGCCTCAATATTCACGTCTCTAAAATAGAGGCAATAATAGTACCTTCCTCATAGGATGGCTGTAAGATTTAAATGAGCCAACACATGTAAATCACTGAGATGGTGTCTGACATTTTTAAAATGCTATATGGTTTACTACTGCTATTTTAATCTTTATTCTAATTATGAATTCTTCTGTTAATTTGATAGTTTAAAAAAGTGATGATATAGCTTATTGAGGTTTGTCATTGAAAGATGACAAAAATGTAAGGGGGCAGTAATGCCAAGAGAAGCTTT